GCGTCCGTGCCCTGGGCTTGCGTCGGTTCTCTCCGGCCGGTGAGCGAAAGCCTCATTGCATGTGAAACTGTCTCTTTTGCGGAGCGACCTAGAGCTGCGCAGGACGGAAGATTACCCCGTCGCCGAGATATAAACGACGCGAATGGAGATAATCCTGGTGGGCTGGCGATTATGAGCTTGGCTGTGGGGAGACAAAATCCGCATGGGCGAATGCCCTCTCTGGTTTGTTGTGCCCGACCCAGTACGAATCCATATCGAAAAAACTTTCCAACGAAACAGTCGCAGTCGTCATATCATTATTTCTTTCACTTCGTGCGATAGCCCATTTTATGGCACCCGACACCCGGAAGGGCTATAACAATTATGATAATAATACCAACATTTTTATTGCAGAAAAATAAAATGTTCGCGCGTGTGTGCGTGTGGGTTTGTATGTGTGTGTGTGTGGGGGGGGGGGGCAGTGTGTCCCTTCCCTGTCTCGTTGAGGCCCTCCCAGACGCAGCAGTGTGTGCACAATACAATGCGGCAGGATGGATCTCGTCGAGTCGATTAGCCGGGCATGCGATCTTCGCTGCACCAGATCAGCGCTCCCGACCCACCCTGCCCCTCTGCCCCCGCCCCGCCCTGACGCCCTGACCACCCCTAGCGCGACAACTCCTCTGCATTGTGTCGCCTGCGGAGACGGCACCGCGTGGAGACCTCACGAGCTCGGCCGTATCTGCCGCGCGTGGATTCGGCATTCTGTTTTCTTTTCGCACTAAGGGCGGTGACGTCACCAGCAGCCCTCGCCTTTCCCTCTCGCGAGGCGGTGAGCGGCTGTTGGCCCGCAGGCCTCTAAGGGCCGCCCGGGGCCCCCGCACTCAATTGGCTTGATTCTCTTCGCTAGCAGACCTGTCCTGTCCGGTCGGCGCGCTTATTCGCAGCCCATGTCGCCCCTTATTGCCGCTTCCTTTTCCTTTCGAGGAAATGTGCAAAAGATTTATTGGTCTGTTGGCGCGGACCAAAGGACCAAGGGTTCGCAGGAATGGGATGACGGTCCTGCGAGTGAAGCTGTGTCGCGCTCAATCTGCTCGTTCACACCAAAGGATAAATCAACAACAACAATTTTTCATTTCTTGAAAACGAACCACAACGATTAACTTAAACCTTTCAACAAGAACAACGAAATCGTTTGCAACTTGTATTCTTAAGTTATAGAAAACTTTGTATTATTATTTGAAATGCACATCTTAAAGTCACTGCTCATGTAAGTCCTTTTCTTCCCTCGGTTGTTGCAGCTGGGGCGGGGCCACGGCGACGGCTACAACACCAGCGACTCCTTCAGCGACGAGGAGGACGACGAGGAGGGGCAGCGCCGGGGCCTCGGCCGCGGCAGGGACGCCTCCCGGGGGTGAGTACACCGCCTGACGCGGTGGTGGTGGTGGAGGACAACGACGACGTCGGTAATAATGACGCCGCCTGCATTACAGAGACGCTACGGGCACGGTGGCCGGGTCTAGCAACGGCGCCCCGCCCGGGGTGGGCGGCGGCGGTGGCGGCGGCGGCGGGGGTAGCCGGCGGAAGTCAGCCATGGCCAAGGCCAGCGACGACGAGCTGGGGCTGGAGTCGGACCGCCACCCCGACCTCAGCTCGCCGGCCAACTCCATCACCTCCATCAACTCCATCTCGTCCTTGCTCAAGGAAAAGCTGGCGGTAAGTCTCCCAACGCCGAACCAAACCGTACCCGCCGCGCTGCACCAGGCAGGCCAGGACAGGGGGCTG